GGGCCCTGATCATTGACATGAAACCATTCCCTGTTTTTAATTAATAAAATCAATTCTTTTTTTGTTGGAATGGTGAGTGTGGGAGGCCTTTAAAAAAATAAATTAAATAAAAATAAATAAATAAAAATAATTTCTGATAACAACTAAAAATCAAAAAAGTTCTTCGTGTGGTTCATTTGCATTCAAGGCTGAAAGAATTCTTGCATCCATAGGAAATTCAACCAGCAAATGCGGTCCAAAAATACGAAAATTTGTCAATTTTGCAAGGGGCTGATAAACTTAGCGAATGAACTAAAATGCCACCCAAAAATTAAAATATATGGATACGAGATTCTTGTATATTTATTTGCTATTCTTTTATATATTTCGTAACTTTTCTTGAATTTTCTTGGTTTAATTGGCTCAAATTCAACTGTAGATCCCAACTTTTCCCCATAACTTTTTTAACCGTGTTTGCTTAATTAATGTTACTTATTTTAAAGCTTTAACAATTAAGATAATTACTGGCCAGCTCGTCGTAGGGGTATGGGGCGAGGCTAGTTGCATTAGTCTGCACAGAAATATAAATTCGGTGCCTGAAGCAATTACAAATAAAATAAAAAAAGTAGTCAAAAAATTAAAAAAATAGTCAGAAAATTCACCATTTCTTAAAAAGGAAATGGTGTTTCCTTTTTAAGAAATGGTGAATTTTCTGGTTATTTTCTTTGTTATTAAATTTTTTATAAACTCGCGATTTAAGCAGTCATGTGATTTTAATACTTATATACGCTCAAAAAAAATTTTTCTGTCAAACTAGGCTATGTAACTTCAATTATTTGTTCAGGAATGGATATAATAATTAATAGTAATTATTATTATAACCGGTATCAAATTCATCAAAAAATAAGTATTATAATCGTTATCAAATTTGTTATTAAATTTTATTAGTCTAATAAGGTTGAAAGCTCTACCGTCTTACCTGAGCCAGGCTCGAGTCGAGGCATAACAAAATCAGTATGAAAGTCAAACCAATTTTCCTCATTTTGATTTTTTTAAGTGCTATTAGAAACTCTGAAATATAAGTTTGACATTGTAAATATAATGTGCGGAATTTTCGGCAGGAAATATTTTAATAACAATTTCTGATCAGCTTTAGCATAATTTCGTATTTAAGTCTCTACATTTCAGACTGAAATTCATTCAACAATGAAAGACCGATCAGTCAGCGTATAGTGACTGAGAGGCCATTCAGTCAATGAACAATGACAGAAAGGCCATTCAGTCAATGAACAATGACAGAAAGGCCATTCAGTCAATGAACAATGACAGGAAGACCGAAATATTGTGGGCAGTTTTGACGCGGGCTACGAACAACTGAGTTAGCATGAAACTATTTGATACGTCGTTGACTGGCTTTTACACTCTAAGGGTCTCTGATGAACAAGTAAACCATAGGAGCCCATAAGAAATAGACAATTAAAAACTATGCTTACAAAAGGTTTGCTAAAAATATTTACAGCAACATTATTGCAATTAACCTAACCGAACTAGTACGGGTTAGATACAGTAAATAAAAGTTTCAGTTATTTTTATGTTTTACCTTCCCTACATGGATGTCTACTTTAATCTACCAATCTCAAAAATTATCCACATATACATATAAAAATTCACTCTTTTATTTGTATATATATATATGTGGATTATTTTTGAGATTTGTAGATTAAAGTAGACATCCATGTAGGGAACGTGGAACATAAAAATAACTGTGTAAAAATACTGTAAGCAAACTGTAACATGATTAATCAAATCAATATCGACAATGAGTTGAAATTTTCTAAGCATATTGAAGGTCAAGTTAATAAAGCCAATCAACGACTTGGACTGATCAGACGCTCTTTCGAGTTTACGAAAAGTGAAACCTCTGTCGTATTCCCCCAGCTTCCCGATCTTCGGACTGCACGGGTGCGACACGGACCTCATTCGAGCGGGGGCCATGATCTTTCTCCAGTTTTCAACATTTGTGTGCCAGTTTTTGCTCCTTATTAAATAAATTTGTTGCATTTTCGATTATTCGATTTTTATGTTTCCTTGGCCCTTCGCGTTTTCGTTACAGACGGTTCGATGCCAAAACATGGCGTCCCCGGAACGCTCAGCGTCCAGTGGTCTTCTGCAAGTCCACTGACGAAAAACATCTTGTGATTCCGTCGATCAGCTGTTAGAAAATGAACAAAATAATCTATTCGCCCATGAGGACGGCAGTAGCAGGGTTGGTCATGAATTATGTGCTTTGTTATTATAGTTCTACCCTTAACGTTTTCTATACGAGCATAGAAATTTAATTTCGATGGGGTCTATGATGTTTTGGCTACAGTGGTCTAATGACTTAAATCATTGATCTTTAACTACTGACATGGTTGAACTGGAAGACGTTAAATTTTATTTTGAATTCAAATATTGTAATTTCACCTATTTTATCAATTTAATTCACTTAAGGGAATGTATATTGTGAGAATGATAGAGTATTTATGTTAAAAATTATTTTAACGTCTCTAGCAAGATTAATGAATATACATTACTACTGATACTAATACTAATTACTGATGCTTGTTATGCAGGATATTGCGGCAAGGATTACCTCTCAGTGTTTCACCCGGCGAAATTATTTGAAAGGAATTTTCACAAAACCATATTATAAGGGATGATTTTAATGATTATAATATACAAACAATGTAAGTTCAAGAAGCAACAGTCTTGAAATAAATATTTGTATCAATATTATTGACAATAAATAATATACAATCAATATAAGAAGGAAAACACTTGCCAGAGCGATCGCTGCTGCTTCGTCAGACGCTCCTCGGTCCCCGTGTCGTGGGAGGGGGGGGGGTAATTTACTTATTTTCTAACTTCATTTTCTTTCTTTTTTTTCTCCCTTCATTTTAGTTCTTCTCTTCTTCATTTTCTTTACTTCCTCTTTTCTTCATTTTCCTTATTCACAAAGTTAGAATAGTGAGTCCTGGATATAGATTTTTTATGGACATAACCTACATTATTTTTAAAGGAACCTAATGGCTTTAATGATCGCTTGTGTTGATTGCGAAAGAATTTCAATTAAAAAATAGGAATGAAAGCGATGCTGGCACACGAGTGCACACGTGGCTTGATGTTTGCGAACGAACGAACGTTGAATTATGTACTGAAAATTAAAATATACGAAGTAAAAGAAATCTACATTTGATTTTACTTCATTAATTAAATATAAGAAGTTACAATGAGAGATCAAAGCCAAATTTTTCACGGTGATACTGAAATGTGCGTAATCCAGAGCTGGACAATTCCAGACGTCACATCATCGCGAAACTTCATTAGTTAGCCATCGAAAAGTTTTACGTCTGCAGTCTCTATGAGCCGGAGTCAAGCGCTGTTTAATTTGAATGGTACTCGTAGATTTCAGGACGCGGTTGAAAATTGTCCTGAAGTATTTATGAAGGCTGAAAAGCCACTAAGTCAGTTAGAATCCGTATACTGTGGATAAGAGCCTAGTAAATTGATTTCATTATCAGTAGTCGGCCAAATTTGCAGCAGGTGTTTAGTTTAACAGCAAACGTAGGTCTATCTAGCGTTGATGTCTAAAAAATATGAATGAAATGAGAGAAAATAACTGAATTTTCACCAATTCCAGATTCCTGTTAGTAATTCTAAAATTAATATTAAACCCTAATTATATTAGGTTTTAATATCTATAGCCCTTTCTGTGAGACGAAGAGAAACGATCTAATTGATTGGGACTCTATAGTTAGTGGACAAGAGCCACCAAAGAAGAGAAGTGACCTAGTCACACAAATGTGAATTCATTCTTCTTCTCCAATAAGATTCGGATGAGAGCATTCACCGAATCAATTTTTACCGAACTCACCAGCGATCTGGCCAGCGGTATGGAACGCAGCTCATGACCCTCAAGTACGAACGCATCTGCATGAAATTCAGAACACAACTAATTAGGTATTGGCAATTTACTGTAGAGGCATAATCAAGAAATTTTCGAAAGAAAGTCATTTTCAAGAAATTTTTAAGCAATTTCATTTCAATTTAAATGAAATACGCAACTTCTGCGGAACAGAACAGAAAAGTTTTTTGTTACACTTTTGAAAGGATTGGGTCAAACGGCAATCTCATGTTCTACGTAGAAGTGATTTTAAACTAGTCTTTCTTTAATAGGCGTACATTAGATTTATTACAATTGGGAAGATTATCGAATTTCAGAGATTATCTATGCCAGCCAACGCCAGAATAGCCTACAAGTATTCAACAAAATGGTGCCTCTAATAGACTGGGAGCACTATTGTACTTAAACCATTAGTGAACGCATGGAAATAAAGAAACGAACCGTATCAAGTTCATTATTATAACCATGGAAAATTTAGAAGCCTAGTTCTAATATCAAGGTTAGAGTTTCTACAGGGTAAATAAGTTAGAACATTTTGTTCGATCTTCATTTTCCCCTAAACTTAGTATTCAGTATTTGCCACACTGACATCGCGATGAATTTATCAGTGCATAATTAGGAAATCACATTTTAACTACAGAGACAGGAATCCTGCTTACCGTTGTTCTCACGGAGGCGCCGAAATAGAAATGATGCCTAGTTTGCGGTTAAAGTTTTCTCAAGATTGTACTCTCGATTCTAATGGCCCAGTTAGTTCATCTACAAAAATTTCTTACGTTTCAGTAACGAGCATTTACAAGAATATTGATGTATAAGTATTAATACAGAGAATATATTGATAGAACTTCTATTATATAGGCTGTAAATGGGAAATGTTAACTATCCATGATACCTATCGTGATTTTGATATAACCTGAAGTAAAATTTGTTTCATGGTGGGATCATGGGAGATTGAAAAAATATAAGGGAGGGTGAGGCCAGTAAATTTAAAAATAAATTTGAATTTAGTTGAGCAATATATTGACGAGAGTTCTGTGCAACATATTGGTGAATAGTTCTTTCTGCATTCACTTACTTTACGTTCGGGGCCGGGATCATCGAACGCCCAATCCTCAGCTATGCAGCCCTGAGCTCCCATCATACACCCCGTCGCCTCCTGCACCGTACGTCTGCTCGTCGCTAGCCCGAAGAGTGAAGAGCATTCAGAACCCGGCTTTATGGCTCGGCACAAAAATGATTTCAATCGATCGCCACCACACAGAGAAAAGCGACCCTCATTTAGTCGCCCACCAAGACACTGCATGTTCGTAGTTTCTTGCCAGCGCCCTCTAACCCTCCCATGCTACCTTCCATATCGTACTTCCTAGCGGACGGCATCGCGCCCGCCGGCTCGGCGGAAGGCGAAACAGACGCGGCTCTGCGGAAGGCGATTTATCGATGATTTGCCTCACCTCTGAATTACTGAAATACATATATATTTCTGTTATACATTGTTCCTTCAATACATCTTGATATATTGCATTGACCATGTTTCGTTTTAAGCATTTACATAGCAGTTTCAGGCCAGGCTGGAGCGCTGCCTTCAGCCTCTGCAGTCAGGTCGAAGGACAATGAATATTTCCAAACGCCCTGTTCAGTCTTTGTCTTAGGTACCGCTCAGCTTCGTGTATACCCAAAAGATACAACGCGTGAAATAGCATTACTTCTGCTGCATCAGTCGGTGAAACAACCATACTTCCATCCTATAAAACCAACATATACGTATTAATCATCTCCATCATGTGTTTCTCATTACTGGAGAAATGTTAGAGCCACAAGGTTGTCAGGCTGCCAAGGAAGCATTTATATCTAACACATGACTGCCACAGAAGGCGATAAATTTGAAACAAGATTTTATATTTTCAAGTCGAAATAGCAGAAGGCAACATAGCTGTGCAGCGTGGGTCAATGTGCAGGCAATTGACGGTTTAGAACAGCATGAGGTATTTTTATTTTAAAAATACAAACATGAGGAACGACCATGTTTCTTTAGGGTGACTTACAAAAAATAAATTCAAAATTGACTTTTACAAACTATTGTTACCAAAATAGTCATATATCATGAGCATAAAAGAAACCATGCAAGATGAGCGTCCAGCATAAACAATTTGGGACAAGTTTTTTGAGATATTCAAAAGCTTAGGGCATCCTGATGCACATTTTCACTATTACATTCAGGAATGCGATGCTACGATGCATCTAAAATGACATAAAATATATAATGAAATAATCTAACATAATTATTACGATGCTTTCCTGAAATATTTTGAGCTCTAATTCGCGGGAACACTCACTGTGCACTAATATATGAGCAGGGTTTGCTCATGGAGTTTAGCAAACGAAAATTCATTGTTAATTATTTCGGCTGAAAACAGTATATCTATTCCTCGCAACTCAATATGGATGCCATTCCAAATCTGACGTGTGGCTTAACTGAATATATAATTTTAACTGCATGGTTATTCTAAATGATGAACCCAAATTAATAAATTCGTATATATTCAAATATATATTCCAAATGAATAGTTTATACACCAATGAATGGAAAAAGATTGAAAGTTTTCTTTATACATATTTACAAATGTTCAACATGTCCCCCTTGTGCTGCACGGCAAACATCTAAACGGTAGGCAAACTCGTCCCACACACGAGAAAACATATCTTCTGTTACTGAGTGCATCTTTGCAGTGATACGGTTCTTCAGATCAACCAGAGTTGCTGGTAGAGGCGGGACGTAAACAGAGTTGCTGGTAGAGGCGGGACCGTGACGTAAACAGAATTGCTGGTAGAGGTGGGGCGTAAACAGAGTTGCTGGTAGAGTAGGGGTGTAAAAAAAGTTGTTGGTAGAGGCGGGACGTAAACAGAGTTGCTGGTAGAGGCGGGACGTAAACAGCTTCCTTGTCGTAACCCCATAACAAATAGTCACATGGGGTGAGATCAGGTGATCTCGGTGGCCAGAAGTGTAGAGCCAGATCTTCATTTCCTATGCGTCCTATACAACGCTCAGAAAGTGATTACGCGTTTGAATAGGTTAAATTCAGCGCCTAATTCTGCGTTTGAGTAGGTTAAAATTCAGCGCCTAATTCTGCGTTTGAGTAGGTTGAAAAGAATTATTCTTTCTCTTTCCATCGATGTCTAAATTATTTATTTTGAATTTATACTCGAATAAGTACGAACTTATTGAATTGGGTCCATCATTTAGAATAACCATGCATTATATACAGCATTCTAAGAGTAAACATTTTCATACAATCTTCAGCACACAAACATGGTAAAGAGAGCGATAGATAAAACATAAACAAACACATTGCCTACCCTCCACTCAGATCTTTCATAAAGAACATCACAGCTCACTACTACCGCTGATTTCCCGTTTATATTAAGAATTGAAGTTCGAAGCAATAATATACTGATAAACTTATAATTTAGGCTTGTATTGCCCTTCATTTATGGTGGCATGAACATATAACCTTTTCATTAATAACATCATTTCTGGTCGAATATATTTGCTCTTACATGAATATATAGGAAACAGATCTGATATGATGGCCAAACGATTTTCCCTCATCGTACTTTTCTCGAAAATTTGTCAGTATAATTACTAAGGTTACTATTTATGGCTACTAAGGCAAATTGTTATTGAATATACAAGGTTCACATACACTCTACGTCATTAACTGAAAGAAACGAACGCATTGTTAGTAAAACTCCTGCATAAATATTTTTACATTTCGGCCAAGCTCAGCTAAAAAAAAATAGGAAGTTTACTCGGCGTCTTGGTTCAAAACACGAGGCACGACACGTTCAACAGTAAAACGTAATCCAGAAATGTTAAAAATTGTAAGAAAACTATTTCACGTTGCTCCAACTTTTTCATTGGTTTTGGGATCTAAGGCACATAAAACTCGGACGAACTATGCTTAGACTTATAGTTACCCAGCTCGGCGCACTAAAATGTAACAAAAAGTGTGAAGAAACGCTGAGCAATATAAATCCAAGGCAAGTTTGATAAATTTTCAGTTAATGCGAAGAAGAGTGCAATTGCGAAGTGACCTGTCAATCGAACTTCAGTCAAATGGACGGATCGAGCTTTATGAGCCACAGCAATAATATTCAAAATAAATTCGTTCATGCATTCAATATCAACTGAAATTTATAAGAAAATACATGGACCAAAATAATAGTCGTATTTATCAATGATTACAAAATTAGAGTGCGAATGTGAAATAATGAAAGTAAAAACATTTTAAACTCACGCCACGAAGTCCGAATAAAATTCATTACGTAGTTCACACTCCAATTTAATTTGAAATTTTAGTTTCAGCCTTTTGTTCTACATTCGCTAACAAAAAACACCAAGCCTAACTACCTATTAAAGGGGCAGTGACATTATTGCCCAGCACCCACATGATATATGTACTTGTCGATATGTTTATTAAGTATCACGAAGACTTAAGGGTTTTCTCTCTTGTTCTTTGTTTATTTCCCGCCGCAGCACCAGGATTTGCAATTAATAACAGCAAATGCCTTTAATTTTTCGGCGAAGAAACATGCGCGGCGTTTAAGCGATTGATAGCGTTGCCTCGGTTACGAAGGAACACGACGACCACGCGCTGCAGACACAGCGCCGCGGCCAGCGCGATGTTGAAGATCTTCAGTTCGTATAGAGGACCTGAGTCATCCTCGCGATCCTTCATGTAGATACCAATGGATGCCCACAGGTATACTGTGAAATAAACGAAGCTCAACGAGAACGAAATTTTAAGTTAACGGCAAAAATAAAAATAAAATTAAAAAACTTTATTCCTATGGCTTCCAATCAACTCAACAGTAATTGTGCAAATAGTGCAATTTGCAAATAGTGCAAAATACATTTTCTGACTAGAAATTTTTGCAATGAGTTCATAGCTATCCCAGGGTACGACAGTCGATAAAAAAAATATTTCAAACGTGGTAGGATGCGTTCAATATTTTGAGGTCATCTTCAAAGAAAAAAAAAAAGATCACAAGCCGTTCACATGAGCTCGATGAAATTATGAAAATTAGCTCGACGAAATTATTAATTGCTCGATGAAATTATGAATTAGCTCGATGAAATCATAAAACACGATTAACAGTTCGTCACATGCCAGAACGTTATTTAATTATTGTGGGATTATTAATTGATTTATTAATAATATATATTTCCTGTCATCGTTAAATAAAGAGCCAGTTGTTGGATTCTGGTACAACAATTCTTGTTTAATTGTTTAAGATCTGCAGCAAAAATATAATAACGTCTAGATTTAAATGCTTAACTCAAACAGTGTACATGCAACTTTAAGATCACTTATTAGAAAAGTCACGGCATTTTGGAAATTAATATTTCGCATGACAGGAAAACCACCAGCAACAACAAAAAATAATAGATATTAAGTGACCGAAGCGCTAAAGCTGACACAAAAACAGATAAAGCAACGTACCTACTGAGACAAATACTGAAGAATGGATAATAGAACTTGAACCCAACTATCAATAATTGACTACCAACAATTTACCGTTAATTGGGTTAAGTAAGTATTTACCATGAGTTATTCTTATCAGTTGCTTAGACGCTGTTCAGTTAGTGTGTATGAAATTATATATTGTTTGCTCACTGAAAAATGGCGTGACGAGCGCGTTGAGGGAGCGCACGAAGTAGAGCGCCTCGAGCAAGGCGTAGACGAGCATCACGGCAGGGATGGCGGAGAGCATCACGGTGCAGACCAACTCGTCGTCAATTTCTACCTGAAAACATTGAGAAAAATTATGTTTTGATTAATGCTTAAAATTATGCTTTGATTAATGATTAAAATTGTTTTTATAATTGAGAAAAAATGTTTTAATTGAATAATCAATTAAAACATTGAGTTTTTGATGGTAACAAAACTCAATGCTGTCAAGAACAGGGAATATATTGATTAGCGTTCGCCTAAATAATCATTCGAGAACTGTTGCCATAAACACAAACAATACAGAATGCCTATAATGGGATAAAAATGACCCGTAAATCTCTGTATACACGAAAAATATACATATACAGGGTGTACCAGAATTAACTGACCCTTTTAATTTGTTAATAAATAGAAAACTAAGAACGTTATGAAGTTGAAACTTGTTTTATTTAAAAGAAGAACATTTTTATGGTAATATTGTATCATAGTTACGTCATTATCCTGTATAGCTTGCTAAATTTGTGTTTAATTATCAAGCCTTAAATTTTCATCATGATTCGCTACAGCAAAGAAGAAAGAACGGAAATTATCGCTACAGTCAATAACGATGTCAATAACAGAAGTTCAACGTGATTACAGGATCCATTTCAAAACAAGGATCCTTCAAAAAACACAATTAAATCTCTTTATCGAAAATTTGCGGATATCAAAAATTTTCGCTCTCGCCAGAAACACTAATGAAGGTTATGAAAGCAACGAAGAGAAGAGCCCTATTTTGTCAAAACAATTGTGGTGGGCATTTAAAAGATATTATATTTAAAAATTACGATACAATATTACCATAAAAATGTTCTTCTTTTAAATGAAACAAGTTTCAACTTCATAACGTTCTTAGTTTTTTATTTATTAACAAATTAAAAGGGTCAGTTAATTCTGGTACACCCTGTATATACATATAGTGCAAAAATTGCCGTCGATTGAGTCTCTGCTAAGAAAATGTTTAACTTAACATTGGTTTCAGTTTTTGATGTCTTGAACGTAAAACGCACGGAAAAAATTATTTCTTCGGTAGAATGCATTTTTATACCGAAAGATTGATATCTTGGTTGACATATTTAGTTGGCAAGTTGCCAATGCAGTTCATTAGATGACTAAGATTTGAAATGAATTCTGTTATAGATTTTTGTTTATGCTGTGCAATACTTCGTGAATGAGGAAGATGCTGAGGTTGAGGAGGGAGGCCAGGAAGGTCCAGGTGCAGTAGAGGGCGTAGCCGTTCACCACCAGCAGGCCGCACCAAAAGTCTCGTCTCGAGCGCTCCAACAGAACTGGAGCTGCCTTCGCATACCTGAAAATCATAACAAACTTTCCATCTGAGAACATTTTGTTTTCATTAAGCGATTATCTGTTTTGATTTTAACAATGCATGATTGAGCCATTGAAATCTTTTCAATAAATCCAGCGATGAAGAATATTTTCTATTGATTTGAACGAATTGCAATCTTTTGATCATCAGAATTGAGTTAACTGATAAAGTAAGAATTAAATATGATTAATATAATAAATATTATGCTCACCAAATACCATTCTAGAGGATAGAATTTTTAACAACCATGAATCATTTTCTTAATTTTGTACTACTCACGAGTAGCAAGCGACAGCCTGAGCGATGATGTTTGTGAAGGCGATGAGCAGTAACCCGACAGCAGAACCAGTGAGCAGGAGTCGGTCCCAGGCGAAGAGCCAGGCGATGTTCGCGATCAGGTTGAGGTTATAGAAGATGAGGAAGGCAGGCGACACTGCGCCGCCCAGACGCCAAACTGCCTCATCTGAGTCTGCCACTTTCCGGAACAAAAGACTAATGCCTGCACAGGGAGAATACAATACATCCTACGGATTGGTCCATTTAGCGGACAAAATACAAGATTAAATTCAAGTTCGGTGATTTAACACGTAGACTCCGAAGTGGTACATATGCGTACCACGAAATGCATTTCTCCAAGACGTAGTGGTACATAATTCAGGGTTGCCAGATGGCCTAAAAAACGGCCAAGTCCGTGAACAAAAAGGTCAAAAAGGGCCTATAACTCAATATATGCTAGTACGTTTGTAGGTTCTGGTGTAAAAATTCCATTTTTTCTGCAGTTTTTTAAATTAGGAACTACCCCTATCTAAAATTTTAGCAGGACAACTCAAGTGAAAAAAACTAAAACGCGGAATTTGTCCGGAAAAAAGACCGTCTGGCAACCCTGTTTCATAATAGTACAAAAAATAATAGTACCTACGTGATGAAACAATCGGAGTCAACGTGTTAATACTGGACAAGAAATTGGTGCTTGCTTATATATAGTGGCAACTAAATGACTGGTAACAGGCACCCGCCGCAATGCAGTTTGTCACAACTTATTAAACGCATATTTTATATCTACCTTATAGAATTTCAGATTTTCACGGTCATCAAATCAGGTGAAAACATGCGCGAAACTATCTATATCCTGAAATGCATGGAAATTTCAATTGAACTGCACACAAGTATTGCGCTTACATTAAGCGAAATACTGGTATTTTACATAACTATTTCTACTACTCTTTGTTAACGATCCCATCCGTTTTGAAAGGAAGCAGAATTTTGGTGCAAACATTGCAAATTTAGAATTTGGACTCCTGAAACTCACAAGTAATATTTACCACACAAACATGGTCTCATGAAAGGATGGAATTTATTCACGAAAACGTTCGCGTTCCATGACGACGTCAATGAAACTTGAAATTTCCCTCAAATAATCCCATTGCGACTATTGTTCGGCGTTCACTAATTTGTAACATGGATCGATAGAAATAGATAATTATAATCAGCCGCATTCAAATCCGTTGCCCGATGACAACACGAATGATCACGCGCATATTACGGAGGTCGAAATAATCACTAGAAGAACAGTTCGTAGAAACCTACTATAAATGACGATCAGAATCAATGCGATGTAGATGACACTCCACACGCTGAAGGTGTAGCCTGCAGGAGTGAAGCAAGTGGGGAAGCGATCCGAGACAGACCCAGTCCGGTGGTTGAACGGATCTGTAACACGATTTTTGTACGTAAGAAAATGAGCAGATGTATTTCATGGAAGTTATTCTCAATTAATTTTTCATGCTTGGTGACATAAATGAAAAGGATTCCAAATTATTAGTCGTGTCGTACTGGAAACATGAGTTGAGCATGACGGCATTCATTGATGTCTTGATGTTAGTCCGAGGGACGTAACAACATGAGGTATAATAGCTTGATACATTTTATGAAATATTTGCTGAAAACTAATAAAACGGACACAAGTGTGTATTCTGTGTATTCTGGCCTAATGCTGAAAAATATGAAGCTTTCATCTCGCAAGAGAATTTATTCCGATGCACACTTGAAAGTATATACAACGAGATGTCAAGAGCTGCTCGATCGATCATCGACAAATTAATCAGCTGAATGGCTCGTGCCAGTGTTATTTTTTTCTCCTATTAACGATACTCGGGCACCGCGTATATGCGGATTGTACATGGTGTACCGTAACGTCACTAATCACGAAAACGATTAGCGGAAATATAATTTTTGGAACTACTTAGTAGCGCCAGTTTAAATCGAACTAAATTATGACTTATTTCGCTAACTGCGGCGTCCTTACTATGCAAACGACATTCTTAACGATTTTTTTATCAAGAACCATCTTCCAATTCTTGTCGTTTAACTGTTTCAATAACCGTAATCAAGAGCACAATATCTTCAAATCAAGATACCAGTCGCGGCATTTCTAGGACCAATATTCTTAATGTGAACCAATGCTAAATCATATATAGGTTACTAACCAACACCGACTCCAGCAAGAGCGTTGAACGTGACCGTTAGAATGATGAGAAGGAGGAGCGCATAGGTGAGGAAGCGGCGTAGACCCACACTGTCGCTCGCCTGGCAACATAATGTCAAGTCAGACTTGTTAAAAGGACGCCTGCAATGCAAGAATAATTAAAAAAAAATACAGCTTAGGACAGTCTAGAAACTCGTGCAATGATGTTCAACAAAAATTTTTTATTGGACTTGCACTTCACGCAGGTCAGAACTATGTTTTATTATAAATAATTTAGAATATTCATTTAGGCATAAGTTTCCACAAATTTGAAGGCATTTGCCAGATACAGCAATAAAGGTTGTCGCGAGAACGCCTACATCTCTTATCTGCCATAAACATGGAGATAAGGCCGTACCGGAACTTTCAAGCTATTCAAACGTCCGCTTTTCATGCATGCGCTCTTCACAGCAAGTGAAACAATAATCAGTAATGATTAATTTAGTAACGGTAATTAATTATTTATGGGCATGCGTCTTCCTCAAATTCTCCGTTTTCGTTGGCCCAGGTACATTGAACATTTCAGTCTATTATATAACGTCATCCAAAATGTATCTTTTTCGCTTCATTTCGATGATATTTGATATGGCTTAGGTACCTATATAAGTCATTGAATACAACGACAAAATTGTGAACGAATCGTAACATAGAATGCTCAAAAATTTTATAAATTCTTTGCTGTCAAAATTAAAAAAAATCTCGCTAAATAGGACGCATGAAGCGAGCACAGAAATTGCACGCAAAGGTATGCGATGAAAGCTTAAATTTTAAACCAGCATCATGCTCACTACTAAACTGTCATCATATAGGTACTGCACGGCATTCGAGTGACACCAGAGCTACAGTATCCCTGGTCACTATCAAGCTCTCATGGAACAACAGAGTTGATCGATGAGCGAGGTGAGCGTCCGAGTGCCTCACACACAACAAGAAATCCACCTGGTCATGTTACGTAAGCGGGGCTATAAGCGGATCGTATATATCATTGAGATAAAAAAGCAAGTTTAAGAATAATGCAATAAATTACTTCAACAAAGTCATATACATTCATGGATTTCAGTAAGATACTTATAATATAAGTATGGATGAATCTGCACCATTAAGAATTTAAATTTCTTAACCATTTTGTAAACGAGACAAAAGAAAAAGGTCTGATTCCAAAGTGACGTGAGTCAGACAAATGTTATGATGAACTCACGCGTGACTCCGACATGTTGGTATGCTGAAGACTTAGATCCGAAGCTTTGGCTTTAGTGTGTCGCTTACGTAATTCACTTGATTTCATTTATAATTAAAACCTGTTAAGGAAGATTTGTGTGAATCATTAACGCCCAAAGATACAACAACAAAATGCCAATACATTGATGTTTCGAATAAATATCAAGCATAACTACCGGCAAATAGCTTGTTTGCTAGTAAAACTTACTCAAACTTCACTCGCATTTAAAACGTAATAAGGACATAAATCATTATTTGCTGCATCCTACCTATCGGACAGGCTGTAGTTACTTCGACAATGCGCATCCCCTGAACGGACGAGCTGAAACTGAAACAAATATAATGGGCCAATGGCGCGGTTTTGCGACTGGCAAGCAAGGATCATGAAGCAATCACAGCCGATAGATCGTGGTACAGATTATTTGATAAGATACAATAAAACAGTAATCAGCTAATCTTCAATTTAAAGAACATAGGCATCAAAGCTGAAAAATTGACCCCATTTGTAGCTAGGACGATTTCTCGCTTAATTAGGGCCAATGTTAACTCTCAACGGTCGGCAGAAAACTCTAAAGCGAGCATTCCCAGGTGACGACTCAGTTTTTTTAGACGCACTGTAGCGAGGATAGCAGCAGCATTCACGGCGCGCTCGGACATACATACAACGGACGAGTAGTGATAAAAATCATATTATAGGCAGATATTCACAAGCGTAATATGCCCACGCATTCATTTCAGTTTATTGAACATTGAATAAGCTAACCGACACCACTTAACTACATAACAGAGAATGTCAGAGATGCAAGCGTTTTGAATGCGAGACCGTTGTATTCAATTAAATTTCAACTATCGGTAATTTGGATACAAATGACGTATGAATACTCCTTAGTCATGTTCAAGGTAGATATTGATTTTAATCTGTTGCACCGGCAAATAGACATTTTAAATTTAAACGAATTAAAATTCTTTCAATTCAACCACGCAGTAATCTGCGTTGAAAACTTGAAATCAGTTCTTAGCTGAGCCAGTGTGAGCGAGGTGTTTTACTCTAGCATTTAGTTAACACGTCGAGTTTAACGTAATCAGTTCAAAATACACATAGACTGGCTCATACAAACTTGTATCACTCTGCATTATAAATTATGAACTGTAACGAGCTCAAGGCTGACAGCCACGGACAGGCGCATAACCACACACTCCAAGCCTCAGCTATGCACTGTGGGCCAAGTTCCGAACTTCAGATTCCGAATTGGGGTCTCCCCCGGACAGTAGACTAGCAGAAGGCCACGGATTCCACGCTGTGAATTTTGCTGTGACCGTCTTACGACGACTTTGATTTATTCCTGTGATTTCCTAAATTAAAGATAACTAAAGCAAATTATTATTGAATACACAAGGTTCCCAAAACTTTCGCCTCTCTTATTGTTATGAGATATTTATACAAACGAAAAATATAAACAAATGAAGCTATAAAGTTTCACCTGAAATTGATCATTCTCAATGTATTTTTTATTGTCAATTCCTTAAGACGTAGAAAACGACGATACCGTGTTCTTAAAGCGTTTTCATAATTGACATCCATTCCAGCATTCATTCATCAATTCATTCATCCAATGACTTCTTGACGTGCTCGTAATTACGTATATCTACAAGCTAGTAATTAGAAGCTGCATTTTTTTTATTGATATATAAATTGGATTAATCACTTGTAACATTAATATAACATTATATGTACAATTCGGTGAGTGTTGTTCGCTATGAGAATAACATAAAAAATTTCCAATGTTTAATGTACAAATATTGGTCAAAATGTTTGCTGCTGCGCCCCAAAGGTCGTGGGCGCAAACAGGAAAAAATTCTGCCAGTCACTTGCATAAACTCTGCACGTCAACACAGTGTCCAAATTTGACTTCAAACGCACGCAGAAAAATCATCTGAATCGTAAATGAATTGTCAGTAGAAGCGAAGTAGTTGGTGCTTGTGAATGCTAGCCTGTATTCTTCATGCTAGTCATGTTTTACTTATTCCTAGAGCAAAAAAAGTACAAAATGGAATATGTCAAAAATCGAAATAGAATTATATTAGTTTAAGTATCCGTAATACAGAGTATATGAAATTTACATCTTCAGTCTCCGCTTGCATTCCACTCTTACTATTTTTTTTCATTTATTCCTATATGTATTGATTAAATAGAAAGATGTAATCGAAAAAAAAACTTGAACGATTATGCAGATGAATTTATTGATGAATACTGAAACAATTATTTTGTAGATAAATTTTTCTACTCTCAAATAACAGGTTGTGTGATTTACGCCTAGTATTTCTCAACGATCGCAAAGAAATTGCTTACGATTAAAGAAACAGCTTTCCATCAACTTCACACTCCCAACCCGTCTATCTGCCAGACGTTACACTGCCGGCTCTAGCTTCTGTCTCTCAAATTAAATGCAGGGAATGAATTATTCTTTCTTTGAATTCAGGGTGTGAGGGTCGTTTGCAGACTGTATACGAGACTACACGACGCATTTCCTCCTGTCTGATCAGCTGGAGGCTTTTATTTCAGGCATTGAGCCTTAGATGCACTCTGTCCATAATAGGCTTCATGTGACAGTCTTTTTTGAATGCAAGTATAAAACGTACAAAGGGTAGTCTAAAAACAGTTCTTCTCATCAGAGCAATCAAATTTATTTAGCATATCTCATCCTTGGTTAAAGAAAATCAAAAAGCTTTTAATTTTAGATAAATAAGTGCGCGATAATATAAAGAACTTCTTGCGAACGTTCTGCACGATTATTCTGTACCTAATTACGTTACAAAATATATCTTTAATTTGATACTTAAGCTTCATTTATGTCTTTCGATACCAAAGCTCAGACAACTTATAATCGACGTGCTTGATCGCGAGTACAGTAGGATATATCGCTAGCTTATTTAAAATTTTATCGAGTTAATTGCACGAGGTAAAACGCTGGCTTCTTTAAAATTTAAGTTGCATGAGGTAAAATATGTATCTTCTATTTGCACTTAACGTGAATTATGTACTTAACTATAGCTGTAGCCTACAACTGCCTGTACATATATATATAGTTAGGGTAATTACTGATGCCTTAATGAAACTTTCTGCATATATTATTTTCCTGAGAAGCTGAATGGTGATTTGTTGATAAAAATAATTTTTTTGTTGTGTAACATAAATACATTACATCAATCATTACACTAAAAGAACTGGAGAAAATTGTCCAAAATATTTTTACATTGTCTCAGGATAGTTTCCGGTATTGTGAAGGCGTTGCCTGAATTATTGAAACCCGGGAAGCATAACCAATCAGGGTTATTATTATGACACTAAACTCTCCGGATATTGACGTCATAATTGTAAGCCGTTATGCAGAAATTAATACTTGCTTCCGAATTAATTTTCTGTTTAATTATATAAACTAGGATCGTAATTGTGCATGAAGAGCGAATAGATTTTTATCAAGCCCCTCACATTGCGATATTCAAAGTTATGTTGAAGAAGTTGTTGTGGATACTGCAAGTATATACGTATAGACTCTGGATGGCCATTTTGAGCATGACAGAAATTTCACGCTCGTATGAACGGTACGAATATTATTGATATAAGGTTATTTCGCTGGAAATACGCGCAGTTACTTCAAATTACGTTTGGACACATCAAGCAGTTTTGAAAAAAAGACCGCCCTCAAAAAAGTTGAATAAATTTCATCCAGATATGACCCTCGTTTCAATGAAGAATGGAAAGATGGTAGTGTAATTTTTTTATAATAATTTTTGACTGATCATATAATTGTTGTGTCCTTTACCTAGACCTCAAAAGATAAAAGTGTGCAAAGCTTTAGTAGCAATAATGCCTGCCTATAGCATTTGAGTTCTTCGTTACAGACATAATGCTTTTATTGAGGAAGGGGATACTGTTGGGAACGAAAATCTTTCCATTCTTAATTGAAACGAGTGTCATTTATAAACGAAATTAATTAACAATTTATTTTATAATTGGCTACTGCACACGCATGGTCCGGTGCGTTTGCATTTTTGCACACTATCAGGACAGGTCCTGCAGCACAAGTCAAGGTTTTAAACTACTTAGAGATAAATATGAATTAGCCGTATACAACAACTTTCATTTCTCGTGTTTCCATAAACAATACATTATTGGGAGTTAATTCTTGCAATTATTAAGAAATTATACAGCTAGAGAAGATAAACATAGCTAACATTCAGATAATCGGGAATAATAGAGAATACCCTGCATGTAATGGATGAAAAGCCATTTGTTGTGCCCGAGTGGTTATAGTTATAAAAGCACCAATATTAGAACAATGAGTTTTGGGTTCGATCCAAGCCAGTGGTGAAAATTCTGATCAATATCGGCGAGGCTGCCTGTGGGTTGCGAACAGAAAGAGTAGCACATTTTTCGATGTATTGTATCGCTGACCGGTCAGATTTGGCCTAATCAACGGCTACACCATTGTTCCTATATTATTATTACTATTGCTGTACGGAGATGAAATTTTTTAGCAACCGAAAAACAACTTTTGGCAGCTGCAACACAGGTTTACACGGGACAAAGCTTTCATAGTTGAGTTGATACACACGTTTGATGTCATAATTTTAATGTTGTTTTCACATCTGATTAGACGATTTTTCACACGAATGCGAAACCTAAAATTTTATTAAAAAACTGAAAACCTTTCTTCTTGTTTTCCATCCATTCATTCATGCTCAATAGATAAAAGTACACACAAAAATACATTTTAAGGAAGGGTAGTTAAAACAATTATATTCATTTGAACTGCGGCGCATATTTAGCAGGTAACCTAAATTAACTATATTATTTATTATTTCCTTTGTTTTGCTTCTCAAGACTGTTACTATTCAGAAATTATATATATTTTTACTATTCTTAGAGCCTCATTTGCTGTTCTTTCATGCACGCACTAACTTTTCATCAAGACGGCACGAATTTCTTCAAGCTTTCTGTCAGGGTCTCAGCGCACCTCGGCTCGTAGTCGATGTGCTCGAACGAGTCAATCACTTATGCCCACTCAAGAGGGCAGCAACAAGTACGCTGATGGTAAAAGTAATCCACGAAGAACTGCTCTTTCCACATGCACTGGAGATACTCTTGAACTGTTGCGGCCGAGGATTCAAATCGTTGCCGTGCAGGTCCCTGTGGTAGTTGGTGTGCGTGTGGTAATGAGTGCCATGCAAATGGTCGTCTGGTTCCCGACGCGACACACGAGAGTCATACGTGTTGGTGAGAGGAGTCGATGCTTCACTTATTGTCAAGATGGGCGACGAGGCAGAAGCTGGAGTTGGTTTCCTGGCTGGAGTTGCATCCCGAGTCACGGGAGCTGGAGTTGCATCCAGAGAATTCTTGACTTCGAAACCTGGGCATTGTTCCTCCGTAGGCCTGGAAAATAAACTGGATTAACTTTCTTATATATTGCTAAAATATGTATTATTATTTTTGTTAGCAATCAATGTTGTTGTTATTGTTGCTAGCAAATTATACTGTAAGTACAAAATTCGATGACAAATTGGGCAACGCTGTTGTAAAATTTGAACATTTGACAAAAACTGATATTCTCGATATATCAGGATCGTGCATCTTTACTTGTAAGATGTGCACTGTTGCAGCAGGAAGCCCAGCGCGCGGTCGAGCATGGAGGTGACGAATTGCGTGGCGGAGATGGCACGCTGCTCGCGACTCCGAGCGTCCGCAGCGTCACCGGTACTCACTGTCCGTCCGCACTCCCGGGGCGTCTCACTCAGCACGCACTGCCTGAACTTGTGGTGCGCGCTGACAAAGGAATTTAAAGTGAAGTCTTCTATTACCTAGGGATTTGTGACATGAATAATGTGCTCAATATACATAGGTCCGTTGTAATGCGGGTGAAGTATGCGCGTTAGGATACTTCTTGTGTTTCTTATGATTCGTATGAAGTGCGAGCGAAGCGAACGCTCGTGTGAAAACGATTATTTTAGGCTTAAAATGCACCATAGAAAAAGCAGCCATGTTCAAATTTTTATTGGAGTGGGATTAATTCACTGGAAATAATCAAACACCTATATTATTCATTTGTTTGTAAGTGTTGCATTCAGTTTCTTGCTGAAATGGTACGGATTAAAAACGGATGAAGGAAAAAATCTGAATGGGAATATAGTGAAAAAGACAACGTCGACGAATTTTCATAGTGTCATTCGTAATTATGGTGTATTTATAAGAATACAGTAGAACATGTAAAGTATTAAATACTTCATATTCAAAGAAATGAGATGTCTTGATATCGAAACGCGTGACCTTGCACGTGTGGAATAGAAATTTACAGTTCAGGATCGACATAAAACTCAACGGAGACTATATTCTTAAGAGATGAAGCTACATAAGCTCGAAATGTTCATCTATGAATGGTATTGACAGACCAGCACATGAGGTCCTGATTTGCAGCGTTGCCCTGCACGAGGTCGGCGAGGTACTTGTAGTGGTCCCCACAATGGTCGCTTGAGATGTACATCTTCTTCATGCATGGCGCGTACTCAAGATAAGCTGTGTGATTAGAAACACAAAGAATATCTGTTGCGAGTTATTTAACTGTAGGTCATTGGCTCATTGCGTGGTATTTCAAAAATACCAATGAAGAGCATGAATATGTTTGCGCTACGTACGTACTGTACGTTTTTCGCGGTATAGATATAGGCATCGTGAGAAATCATGAGTGGTTGGTTACTGTGCATCTGCGTTTAGGAATTTTTTCACTTTTGAACACAATATTTCGACAGTAATTTAATTAATTCTGATCAAATAGATCAGTTATTTATGTTGAATCGAATAGAGTACAAATTAGTGAGCAAATAAACAATCATCCGTCAAGGAATTCTTCATGAATTAAAGAAGAGTTATTATTGCCCTAATTCCACAGGTTTACATTCCTGTAATGTTAAATTTTTAAAGGAAAGCTATTGTCAATCAATTTTTCTGGTATAATTTACAAAATATAAATAATTTAATAAGCAAGTTTAATTTTACGTTGTAAAATATTGCACGGGAGGACGACCTTCGCATCATTAATACGAGAGACTCTTATTATATTAATACGAGAGGCACACACCGGTGCGATAGACTTGGTTCTCAGCGCAGAGCTCGTGGATCGACTGCATCGAAGGCTCAATAGCGGCGCCAAATGCCTCCAGCTGATCAGGGTTGAGGAAATGCGTCGTGTAGTCTCGTATGCAGTCTACGAACGCGCTCCACATCCTGAAAAATGAAGGATGATTAATTCAAAAAATTATTTTAATTTAGGTAGAAGTTAGTACTGTTTGTCTAAGGGTTAATTGGTCTGAACTGCGCGTATAGACAGTTGAATGTTTATAAACGGTTTGTTATAGCTGTAGTTCATTTTCATGCGTAGCTGAATTAATTTGGCAAGTCGTTTTTAAACTGGGATGTACGGTGAATGTCAGACAGTCCGATTTAGTCGAAACTCGATCCAAGACTCCTTGGAAATGCGTATTATGTTATCACACCTGATCTTCACGGTCTAAAAAGCACGAAAATAATATCCGGGGGGAAGCGCTGAAGGAGCAATGCAAAAGTACGAGTATTATCTGTTTCTGTGACTAGAAGAACGTCTGCAAAAATTACTGCAACTTTATGTATGAAATTAAATTACTAATTAATCTTAACGAGTACGTATTTACTACCGAAACGACCTTGCTAGACTAATTGCTACACCGTGAAATATATAGGGTTAAAGTGTTTACTAATATTGCTGGAGACAAGATAAAACTGTCCCAGTTTATTAGCAAATTAATAAATTACTTCCGCCTTTTAATGACATGTCAAAAGTAAAGCTTAGTCTGATATATAGTTTTGTGCTGCAGGCGCCTGATAGTTTTTGCCAATTACATTCCGAATGTCTTACTGGAATGTATTCGTATGTAGCGACTGGCGAATCTACAATGTAAATTAATATATGAATGTCATTGTCTGAATGTAGATTCTCCGAATCTACAGATGATAATTACGAACAAAGAATCTATCTACAGAGTTAAGATTTCCTATCAGTTTACGTCCTGGATTACCGACTATTTATAGACACTGAATTTCTTACTTACACCTCTGGTCTCCTACCTGCAGACACTCTGGATTTCAAACCTATAGACGGCATGCCCTCACTTTGTTTATACACTTTTATTTTCTTACTAACAGGACCCTTAAGGCTTACTACCTGCAAACTCCCTGGATTTCCACGTTTGAGAGCGGGAAGACAAATTCCGGATTATACACGAGAGGCTCCGCCATCTTGACGCAGCGGCTGAGCTCCTGAGCGTTGCGAGGCTGGCGCCCCGATGCAAGCGATGCTGCACAATCAAAAGTCACGTCAGTAAATACGCCTTTACTTGTGCTTACCATTATTATTATAATTGAATTCAAGCCAGCCGGTTGTAACGTCAAGTTTCCAAGGATGAGCAATTAAAAATACAGTGTATATAAAAAACATGGTTCACTGTCAAGATTTTTTTCATGGTGGAAGTTGAAATTGCGCGTTTTTAATATTTTTCAAGCATTCCAAAAAACTAGTTTCATCGAGAAAATATGTTAACTTAATTAATTTTGTTAATCTGTAGCTGATGCAGGCTGTGGATATTGTGAATATAGAAAGCCGATTGATCAGTAGTTGGTATTGTTAACAGTAAACCGTTGCGGCTTTTGCAGAGTTCAAGTATTATCAAAATTAATATTTGAAAGGCCTTCTCATCTAGATAAGTTATTTTTTATCGTGGCATTAATTCTGCAAAATTCGTTTATAAATAATTTCTTTTATTGTCGTGCGTCACTAAATGCTCTCCTAAATGCTTCATTGTAGCCCAGCCATGTGACTTTAAAGGCAGTATGATGGTTTCTTCCTTTCAATATTTTGACTAGCAACGGCATGCCAATTTTTTAATTTTTTATTGGCTCGCTTTTTTGGCGCAGCGTTCTATCCGAGTCATGAGCTGTTCACGCTCAGCTGATTGTTATGACCGCACATTGTGCTGTACAGCCTTGAAACCGGGTCTTTAATCTGCACTAACACTCATGTTTTTATTAAAACAGTGGCAGATGAGGAATGTTGTGAGATTTTTCAAATCTTCTAAGTTATTGTCGGTTAATTACTTTATGAACAACATTCGGTTGAATTATAGTGATCTAACACGATGCAAGTTTGAATGGAGTCCCGGTTTTGAATCTCAAGTTGCTAGCAGCCAAATGAAATAATAGTAGTTGAAACGTTTTTTTGGCGCTCTCTAATGCAGCGCCAATAATTCTCCGTAAGTTTCTTCCAGTCTATACGCGCACGAAAAATAATCGTTAAGATAAAAGAGAAACCGCAGAGCACGAGCGTGAAGCCGCCGACGCTCATCTGCTCGGCTCTGCAGAGGCGATCGTGCACACGGAAAACTGACTGGATCACATTGTTCAGATTAGTGACACACTTATTTTACCTACAGCATCAGTAAAGAGCTGACGTAACACTTATACGCCCTTCTTCTTGACCAAACTGGGTCATGATGACTCATATAACGACAAAAATGCATCGCTATTTGGACAAATTTAAAAATTTCCCTCATTCCTCTGCAAGCGAAGACGTGTAACAAGAGGCCGTTAATTACGCAGCCAGTGCCTGGCCTCCCTAGGCCAATATATAGTCGAGTAATCCTCTTAGACAGCCGGTCTGTGGTGGAATGATACCTCTTCATCGTCATGTAAAACTACTAAAAGCTATCACATATCATGCCGAAGTAATATTACAGTATTGCAGGGCTACGAAGCCTACATCTACCATTAAGTCTTAACCCATGTTTCACAATAGCAGATCTAGTTATCAGTCTTTTAGGTAAGAATAGCATGGTTGACGGTTAATGTATCCGTAGACAAATGGTTCAAGTTGAATAGGTCACTCGAAATAACTTATCTAAAAATCCAACCTTCGAATGGTATTTAATAAAGATAATATTACTCAATTCAATTGTAACATCACGCTCTGCGTTGGTCAATATGAATTCAACGAGACAAAGTAGCTATCTAGCGTATACTTCGTTTTACCGCGATTAGTTTATATCTGCCGACCCCCAGGTTTGTTGTGACATGTGTAACACTCACAGCATTCAAACTTATAATTCGGATGCAGCCATTGAAGAATCACATAATCAAAAATGAATGACGAATAGAAATGAAAAAATTTAAACTGTTTGCGATTAGAAAAAAAAATTAAATTGTTTGTGATACGTCTACGAGTGAATGTCAAACGTTCATCTTTGAATTTATCTGTGGTAATAAGAAGATTGAGGTTTGGCATGGCTATCGGTAAATGTACAACTTACTCCGCATGATATATACGAGCACACATGATGCATTGAACACGTCTTGCGTTTGTTGCCTGACGTGCGGCTCGTGAGTGCATGACGTACGTCATTGCGTAAAACCACATGCATGGAGAGATGGAATTCACCTCAACTTCACAGCTCTAAATCTTGATGGTTCGTTATAATGATCTTTATCTCAATCAGAAGATGCCAAAAGCATTGTTGCGAACAACATCATTCCATGCGAATGTAACCTACTTTTAACTCTTCTTAAAAACTCCGTGGCTTGCGTTCAGATAATTCTTCAGACCATAAAGATCATGTTCTATACGTCTCATCTGTAAAGCATTAGTGGCGCTCTCTCTGAATACAACATGCTCTGGTTGCCCCACAATCGGCTTCTGCGGTCACGAGTATCATGACAACTCTAAGTACAGTTAATTTATGATCGTCATTACTCTGTAACTTGCTATAATAACGTAGTCACTCATCTCCATGCACGCATGACTCTCAGCTTACGATGAATTTCATCACAAGTTTGCCTTACATGATGTAATATTGTTCTGGGATTTTGTTAAAAGGAACTAATCAAACGCAAATAATCATATATGATTTACTGCAAAAGTGCAAAATTTTGTAGTTAAAAGGGCGCCGTCTTGCAAAATAATATGATATTACATATTATTTACATTTTGAACGTATTTAGCTAGTGTTGCATCTGCGGGTAACACTTTACACTCATGAGGCTAAATAAAATAATGCAAACAAAATGGGTGTTGAGCCATCAGTGTGCAATCACAAAAAATTTGTTAAATACAAAGTCCATTTTGGTCAGTACATCATAAATCCAATACCACACCATCTTCAATATAGCCTTCAAGTCATTCTTAGTGAATTTCCTCATCATAAATTCTCTCATTGCCATGCATTGGCCGACGCACTGAGTCAAATTTAAGACGAAAGACGAGATAGAAACTTTATAGTAGCATCGAGTAGCATCCATCAACTAAAGTGAATGTTAACAAATGAAAAATTCTGAAGAAATTCGCTCATTTTGCACAGAAATGCAGTTGCTTTTTAGGAATTACATTCTATATATGAACCATCAAAATGAGCTTTAAAAAGTAAATTACTTATGAGTTATGCTGGGACGGGTCCCCGCCAATAACAGGATCAAATATAATCGAAATTATATAATGTTTTATTATAATGTTTGAGCGAATATATAATATATGATCGAATCTTGCAACTTTACTCTCATTAATTAACCATCGTCCAGTCCAGCAATGATGTAAAACCAACGTCAGATCTGGTCAAGTGCCTATTTTTAGCGCATTTTCTCTTTTATGGAAAAAAGGCGCTATTGTGCTCGTCATGCCCGTCTGTCTGTCTGTCCGTCTGTCTGTGACTTCACGTTTTCTTTGACGAAAAAATGCGCTCCCTGTCACTCACTGCAGTGAGTACTTAGTTATATTTTTAGATCTCCTGTTGGCGACAGGCCTAAACAGGCCTATTTCTTCCACGCCAAAGATGCTATGCTATTCTATTAAAATGTCATTTCAAATTGTTCCGACGATCTATCATTTCTAGTCTGAATACTGCAAGAATTAGCATGGTTATGCATCACTAGATGAACGAATCATTCGTTACATGGAGCGGTGGTCCGATCGCTCGCAATTGCAGCTCCTGACCTCGGACTACGCAGTCTTTAATCAGCGGAGGAGAACGGCTTTCGCTCCAGTGGCAAAGGAAGCTTGTCACCATCTGACCGTCATGCAAATCGCCGAGCGTAATTTGTGACTCAACCTTGATCATAGAATGGTAAGCGCTTATGTATTCGAGCCACATTTACATGTACATAATTAATAATGTTAAATTAAATCCACTTAAACAGGGATTCCAATTCTCTGGTACGCGTACCACTTGTGGCATGCAAATGCTTTGCAGGTGGTAATCGGTCTTGATCGGTTTTCAAGAAAGGTTTCCTACTTCATAAAACATTTTCTCCATCGAACCCGCGATAATCTAGAAACGACTTGCATGGCTACCACGCCCCACTCACTTGGTTCCGTACAGCCCACATTCACATCAAAATGGTTAACTCATATAATGCGCAACTTTTTTTGCGCAAATGGTTAACTCATATATGCGCAACTCATATAATGCGCAACTTTTTGGAGCATAGAGTAAAATAAAATAAAAACACCGGTATTATATTAGCGGCTAATTTGTAGTTTGTAGTAACGTTATTGTATTAGTTGTAGTACCGTTATTATATTATTTACAGTAACGTTATTATATTAGCGGCTGTTCGGTACCTACAAGTGATGCGCGATCATAATAATCTTACGGATTCCTTCAATATGACCCAGTTGAAAAAGTGTTAGACAGATCGAGACACTTCATATATAATTATCAGTTTTGTTTAATAGTTTGAATATTTGTTGATAATTTTAGGAATAGCTTGCAGAAATACAGGCAATCTATTCTAATTATTCCTCTGCTCACCTTGTGCGCAGAGAATTATGCAATTCTGCACAACGCTTCTCATTCAGATCTCATATTCCTCTCCAAGTCTAGAATCTGGATATAGTATTAAGATGTTAGAGAACGAGTGCATTTTTCGCTATATGAGAGATTATTTGTTGTAGTTTTTTCGTGTTTTTGTCGTTTTTATTTTAGCAAGAGCTAAATATAACCTTTTTATATGCCCCTTTATATAAATATGCCCCTTTATTTTTAGCTGCAATATCAAAACTATATTTTGTCTTTATCCTTCAATAACGGTAATTAATTCTATCCAGCGACGGAAAAATGGGGCGGTTACGTTGTCCGATAATAATAAGTTGTCCGATTTACAGCTTGGAAAGAATCCATTCATCATGAGATAGCATAGGAACAGAATTAAATAGTCAAAAATTTCATCGGAAACTTCCTTTTATATATGTTATAAATTTAGCTTGGGCGGTTTTTTACTCATGATCTGGGACTTTGTACTGCTTCAACGTTGAAAT